CAGATACAAAATTAATGTTTTCCCCTTTATAAATTAATTTCTTTTGCCAAGAACATTCTGTTTGTTTTGAGATAATGTCTCATGTAGCCCAGGCTGGTCTCCAACTAATTAAGTAGTGAAGCTGAGGATGACTTTGAACTTCTGACCTCCTGCCTGCACCTTCTGAGTGGTGGAATTATATGCATGCATTTAGTACATGCTAGGCAAGGACTTTACCAACTGAGCTACATCTCTAACCCTATGAATGTGGTAAGACTGCCAGTCTTTCACCTTTTCCTGATTTCCACTTATTGATCCTTCAAGTGTCAGCTTACATGCTTCTAACCATTGTACTTCCTTACTCCCATCTACAATTATTCCTACGCAGCACTCTTTCCTTTGATCACCAGCACAAACTTGTAGTATTGACAGAATACCGATAAGAGTCTACCTCCCCGAGAATAAACATTTGAAAGGTGAAGGATCTGTTTAATTTACTGGAATATAGCATACATTCAAAAAATATTTGTTGCACAATGACTGTCAAGACAATTCTATATTAAGAGAAAATTGTATTACTTGTACTCTATTTTTATGTCATATGCAGTTATACAAATATCCTACACTAAGCTCACTCTCTAGTGATTATGATGGGAAGTGTTTCTATGATGAAACTGAAGATTCTTCTGACACATACTTTCCAGTCACTCAAGATACGGCCAGTAGCCAAACAAAAACAACATGCCAAAAGACCAGGTTAAAATCTACACACATTCAAGACCTCTCTCTAATACCTACTACTTGATCCTCCTGCCTCTACACCCCTCCCCCGCCAGTGCTAGGATTACAGGTGTGCACCATCATGCCTGGCTCACACTATTCTTCACTGTATTAGCTTACCTATTTTGTTCACTAATTCTCTAAGATAAAGTAACCAAAATTTAAGTATTCTTAGGAAAGATAATTCTTTTTTTTTAAGTTTTTTAAAAAAATTTATGTGTATGAGTGTATTGCCTGCATGTATGTGAGTTCACCCATGTTGTGCAATGCTGCAGAGGTCAGAAGAGGGCACTGGATCCCCTGGAACTGGAGTTAAGGACGGTTCATAGCCGTCACGTGGGTGCTGGGAATCGAACCCAGGTCCTCTGCAAGAGCAGTCAGTGCTCTTAACTGCTGAGCTATCTCTCCAGCCCCAGGAAAGATAATACTTTTTAAAGAAATTTACATTTCCCAGGCAGGGCTTGAACTTACTAAGTAGTTATTTTATTTTATTTTATTTTATTTTATTTTATGTGTACGAGTGTATTGCTTGCATGTATGTGGTAAGTGCACCTGTGTAATACAGTGCCTGTGGAGGTCATAGGAGGATGTCAGATTCCTGGATCCTCTGCAGAAGCAAACAGTGCTCTTAACCGCTGAGCCATCTCTCTAGCCCCAGAAAGATAATTCTTGATAAGCTATACTAAAATAAGAGGGAAAGGAAAAACAAAGTATGTTTCTGTTGCTATTTAACTAATTTGCTAAAGTTGTGATGGGCTAGGAAAAATTAAAGATGATGATGATTAATGAGAGTCTCATTATTTAGCTAAAGCTGGTCTTGAACTCACTATGCAGCACTGGCTATCTCAAATTTTCAATCTTCCTGTCTTAGTGTCAAGTGCTGGTATTATAGGTATGCACTACCATGCCTGATGGCATTTCATTTCAATATTAAAATGTTAATACTATATATGGAAATTCATTTTTATTTGCTTTTTAAAACAATTCCAGTCTGAAAAGCTGAGTCATATATGATATATATCTGAAGAGGCTATATCAGCTCATTGTCAGGTGCCAGCAGTGTGAACTAACTAGCCTTTAAAAGGATTCAAATTAAAATCAAGGACTAGGGAGCTAACATATTAGAAAAATGACCCCCCCAACACTTTTTTTTAAACATTTATCTGTTATCTCTTGATAACTAGAGGGGCTGGAGAGATAGCTCAGCAGTTAAGAACATTGGCTTCTCTTGCAAATGGTTTGGTTCCCAGCACCCACACAGCAGCTCACAACTATCTATAACTCCAGTTCCAGGGATCCCAACACCCTCTTCTGCCCTCTGTGGGCACTAGGCATGCACATGGTACACATACACACATACATGCAAGCAAAGCATACACATAAAATAATTAATCAGTTTTATATTAGCCTCGTACTAAGACTAGAGAAAGATAAGAATCCAACTCTCCGTATCTTAGTAACTGATGTATAATCTCTCAGATACACTCATAACTTCCAAGCTTTGGTAATCAGTGGCCACATGCAAGTCTACTGTATGTATAGTCCTGGGACTTGTCAGAACAATGCTGTCCTCAGTTCAGGAAAAGTGATTACTTCCTACGTTAGCTTCAGTATATTTAAATGCCAACTCCTATTTCATACCTGACAAATGCCAAACACTGTAGCAGGCATTTTAATTCTTTAGAGACCTTTAAGTTCCACAATAACTTTACGTTTTACATGAAACATGAATGAACTGAGTGAGACTCAGGGAAGTTTGATAACTTGCCCAAAGTGAAATATGTAAATTAAAGGCAATTAAAAATGTGTGCAAAGTATGTTCAAATGATTATGCTATTATTTCTGTGATTTCTCTTTTGAAGCACAAAATAAACCTGTTTTTTCATTACAATAAAGAATGTGAGGGAATTTTTACCGATGGTATAAACCAACTAAAGTTTGGGGCTGGAGAGATGGCTCTGTTGTTAAGAGCACTGACTGCTCTTGCAGAGGATCTGGGTTCAATTCCCAGCACCCACATGGTGGCTAACAACCATCTATAACTTCAGTTCCAGGGAATTCCAGGGAGCTCTTTTGAGCTCCTCAGGCATTGCACAACACGGGTGCACTTACATACATACAGGCAAAATACTCATGTACATAAAATAAAAATAATAAATTTTTTTTAAAAATTAAAGTTTACTCATAGAAAAGTTCAGCTTGTGGGCCAGAGAGATGGTCCAGTGGGTAAAGGTGCTTGTATTGAAAGTCTGGCGACCTGAGTTTGACCCCCCATAACCCACGTAAAGGTGGAAGGAGAATACCAACTCCATGAAGTTGTCCTTTGACCTTTACATGTGTGCAAAGTGAACACACACACACACACAATTTTTCTTAAAAGAAAAATTCAACTTGGTCTTTTTTAAAGGAATAACAAAACAAAATGAGAACACAGAAGCAAAAGCATTTTAACAAATTTACACTCACCTGATATCACTAGATTCTATATTTGTGAAAAATTAAATATAAAAAAATTTTAAAGGGGAAATTTCTATATTGAAGCTAAATCTTCTAAGAAGTGAATAATTAAGAAGACAGCCTGTTTGTTACTGCAGAAAAAGGAAGAAAAGAATGTACCGGCACCAGGAAATCTCCACCAGGTCACATTACTTTCAGCCTCCCCTTATCTCACAGTTGTCACATTCAGCGTTAGCTGACCCTGATAATCTGAATATATGCTATGGGAATGTAACTTCCTAGAGGGGGATCATAATTTTGTATATTCCTTAGGACCTAGACTAGTGATGGGCATTTGGAGGTAGTAAATAAATTCATCCTTAATGAACAGATGCAGGAGCCTGACATCTCTATAGATTCAACAGGGTACATTTCTAAGAAGCCAAATGAAAACATAATGTAACAATAATTTTTGTGACTAGTCTCATTACAACCTCATAACAAACAATAGACACTTACTGAAATGTTTCCTGCGGAGTTGACCTGCATCTCATCCACACCATGATTGCCATTTGTAATGTCACAGATGCAGTAGTTACTAACAGAAGGAGGTCTGAAAGTGTGGCCACCATCACAGTGAATTTCTGGACTAATTCCACAGCCAAATGTGAATGAGGCCAGAGAATGATAGTGTGTGAGTAGAACTACAGCATGCACCAACTCTGCAAGAGACCAGCTGTGCTCTTCAGCCTTCAAAAGTCCCTGTGGGATAAGAACACAGTTTGAAGCTAGGATGTGTTGGCAAAAGTTTATACAGTTTATTTTAGTATTTGAAAATTTAGTGAAAATAGAATTGGTTACCATAAAAAGCCTGGTTAGGATTGTAATTTGAAACACATAAAACCTATAATTTGGTAAATTTTATTAAAATGTATCTAGAAATAAGAGGTCAATATCTGTTAATGACATATTATCACTCTGAATTTCTGAAATAACTTAAACTTTTTAAGACAGTGGCTTGAGCAATTTTATTCTGAAGATTCTTAAGTCCCCAAATTATAATTATGTTAAAAAGTTATGCATGGTTGCTGAAGAGATGGCTCAGTGGTAAAGAGAATTGGTTGGCTGCTCTTCCAGAGGAACCCAGTTCAGTTCCCAACAACTACATAACAGCTAACAACTCCAGGGAATCTGACGCTCTCTTTTGGCCTCCACGGGCATTAGACACACATGGTGTACTTATATACTTGCAAGCAAAACAAGTCATACACAGACATGTTTTTAGGAGTTTCTACTGTGTAGTATCATTTTAAAGGAAGTTAGTTGAGATTTTTGCTCTAAAATCAGAAGGAGCTAGTTGTAAGATGGAATTTACAAATAAAGATGAACAAGATGACACTCCACACTTATCAGAACAGCTAAAATCTAACACATTGACACCAACACTGGCAAAGATATGGAACAGCAGGAATGCATCTCCATTGCCGGTGGGAATGAAACTAGTACTGTGCTTTGGAAGATAGTTCAGTTTCTTTTCTTTCTTTTCTTTTTTGGTCTTTTTGACTTTTTGAGACAGGGTCTCCCTGTAGCCCCAGCTGGCCCAGATTCGCTCTGGAGACCAGGCTGGCCTCAAACTCACAGAGATCCACCTGCCTCTGCCTCTGGAGTGCTGGGATTAAAGACGTGTGCCACCACGCCCGGCTCCAATAGTTCAGTTTCTTACAAAGCTAAATACTGGCTTATATAGTAGTAACACAGCTAGTTATTCATCCAAATAAGCTAAGAACTTTTGCCTACCCAAACTTCTCCATATGAATGTCTGTAACAATTTTATTCATAATTGGCCAAAATTAATAGTAATCAGGATACCCTTTTAAGTAGATGAATAGATAAACTGTAGTGTGAATATATGGAGTATCATTCAGCAATAAAAATAAATGGGCTATCTATCAAGTCATAAATAAAAGAAAGTGAAGTGGTTTTCATCTGTAATCCTAGCAACTTTGAAGGGTGAGACAGGAGAATCAAGAGTTCAAGGCCAGCTTGGGATACAGTTAAGTTTCTTGTAAGGCAAGCCTAGACTATATAGCAAGAGCCTCTTTGAAAACAAACAAGAGAGGACTTCATGTGCATATTGCTAAATCAAAGTCAGTTTGAAAAGGCTATGTACTCTGTGCTTCCAATTATATCACAAATGGCAAAGCTGTATATAAATTGTCCATAGTTATAGGGGCTCAGGAGGAAGTACAGGGCAGTGGCTACTTACTATTTTGTACTGTACAGCAATAGTACATAATATGCATTTGTCAAAACCATGGAACTATAAAGAACAAACCCCATGAGAATTATAGACTTTAGTTAATAAATTAATAGCAAACATAGCAATACTGGCTCATCATTTACAACTGAATGTACCACACAAATTTCAGATGCTAATAAGAGAAAAATGTGTGTCCATAGATTTCCTATCCAATATATATATATTTTTCCTTTTCTTTCTTTTGGTTTTCCCCTTCTCTTTTCCCTTTCTTTTAAAGAGACCAGGTCTTTTGATTCCCACGTTGGCCTCAAATTCATTCTGCAGCTAAGGATGGCTTTGAACTTCTGGTTCTTCTGCCTCTACTTCCGCAGTGCTGGGATTGCTTATACCACCACATTAAGTTTATGCAGTACCAGGGCTTGAACCCAGGGCTTTGTGCATGCTAGGTAAGCACTGTACCAACCGAGCTTTATCCCTAACCTTTTATCCAATTTTTCTATAAACCCAAAACTGTTCTAAAAAGTAAAATCATTAAAAAAAAAAAAAGTGATACCAAAGATGTATTATCTCATTACATACCTCGATGTGTTCTTTGGTAATAAGCCAAGGTCTATGGGCTAATACTTTGTTGAGTTCTCCTAAATTTTGTAGTTTTTGAGGAGCATTCTCTAAGCCATTGAGCCACTTGGGGTCCCCACCAACATGAAGAAAATCATTTACATGTAGGTTCACTAAATAGGAACACCGATGTCTTGCTGCAGCCTTAAGAGAAAATAAAAAGACACTGTAATTATACATATTAAAGTTTTTAACTATAATAAATTTTCTTTACAACATACAAAATACTTAGGTATTTTATTAGTCTGTTAAAAGTTTTCCATGCACTTCAGAAATGCAGGGTTTTTTTTTGTTTTGTTTTGTTTTCTTTGAGACAGCGTCTTCCTGTAGCCCCAGCTGTCCTGGAACTCACTATGTAGACCAGGCTGGCCTTGAACTCACAGAGATCCACCTGCCTCTGCCTCCCAAGTGCTGGGACTAAAGGCATTTGCCATCACACCCGGCTCAGAAATGCAGTTTTTAGGAATTAAAAAAATTCAAATATACCACAGAAGACATCTCAGAAATATTTCAAGAACAAACTATTGCTAAAAAAAAAATCTGTACTTTCGAAATTTTGCCGATTTACCAACTTTTAGACCCTCAGGTTAAGAAACTTCAAAGTAGATTGCCAACAAAAAAGTGATATGTTATATACAAATTGAACAGGATTAGCACCAAGTATGTCAGTATGAACTAATCCTAGCACTTAGGAGGTGGAGGCAGGAGGAAGGACTAGGAATTCAAGGTCATCCTTGGATATATAGCAAGTCTGAGACAAGCTAGGCTATATGAGCCTTTTGTCTCAAAAGAGGAGGGGGGGATGAAGAGGAGGAAGAAGAGGAGGAGACCAAGTATAGGCTACCTGAGACTTTTGTCTCAAAAGAAGAGGATGGGGGGGTGAGGAAGAAAGCACATCTTATATTCTACTTTATTCTCTAAGAAAGAATGGTAGAATGGTTCTGTATGTGGCCCCTGGAAGGCTAACCATGCTCCAGTGGATGGCACATGGTTCATATTCAAGCGTATAAGGGGTCTGGAGAGATGGCTGAGCGGTTAAGGCACTGGTTGCTCTTGCAGAAGACCTGGGTTCAATTCCCAGCATCCACATGGCGGCTAACAACCGTCTATAACTCCAGTTCCTGGGGATCCAGTACCCTCTTCTGATCCCTGAATGTACTGCACAACAGAGATGCATCTACCTACCTGCAGGTATTACATTCATACACATTTAAAAAAAAAGTATCTGGGCAACACAAATTGGACTCAATGAGTTTTTGTTTTTTGCCTTTTTGAGACAGCTGTCCTGGAACTTGCTGGCCTTGAACTCACAAAGATCTGACTGCCTCTGCCTCCCAAGTGCTGGGATTAAAGGCATGCACCACCACACCCAGCTCAATGAGTTTTTAAATTAAAACAAACAAACAAACACAAAGTTGGGTGGGTAGAGAAGTGGGGTGGATTTTGGAGTTAGTGAAGGAGGGGATGAGTTAGTGAAGGAGGGGAATGAAATATTTGTATTTCATACAAAATACATTGTATGAAAGTCTCAAAGAATAAAAATATTTAAGAAGGAAAGAAGGAAGAGAGGGAGGGAGGGATGCCAATTCCTGCAAGTTGTCCTCTGATCTCCACACACATGCCATGAGACATATACATGTTCAAGCCTGTACTGATACATACACACTAAATGTAATAAAATTTAGAAGCAAAGAATAGTTCTCAGCACTATATAAAAATATATGTAGTCAGCTGGGTGTCAAGGCACAGGCCTTTAATCCCAGCACTTGGAAAGTAGAGGCAGGTGGATCTCTGAGTTGGAAGCCAGCCTAATCCACATTGCAAGTTCCAGGCCAGCCAGGGCTACACAGTAAGACCTTGTCTGTCTCAAAAATAAATAAATGAAATAAGTAAAATAAAAAGTTAAAAAATTAAAATTAAAAAATAAAGAAATAAAAATAAAAATAGCTGGGCATGGTGGCACATACCTTTAATTCCAGCACTTGGGAGGCAAAGGCAGGTGGAGCTCTGTGAGTTTGAGGTCAGCCTGGTCTACATAGAGTTCAGGTTAACTGGAGCTACAGAGAGACCCTGTCTCAAAAAGACAAAAAACAAACAAACAAGAAATAAAAATAAAGAAATATATGTAGTATTTTTTTATTATACTTGAAATTATACTTATTTCAAAACAGGAAAAATAGAGACTATCTAAACTACCTATAGGAATATGATTATAAGTCAGAATATAAGTATCCTTGTTTAAAAAGCATTAACTATCTCTTGGAGAGATTAATAAAAACAAACAGAAATAATTTTTCATTGAATATTTACAAACCATTATTCCAATGTAGTGCCGATAATGGAGGGGTAATGGCCCATCCATTTGTAGTAGATAGTGTTGAGTTTTTAAGAAACTTTCTAAATACTGTGGATGGAAAACCATCACTAATGTAATGTTATCCAAACGACCCAAAGCAGCAAAAGAATCTGCGAATAAAGTATGCATCTGTGCGTCTTCACTCCCCACTTGGAGAATCTGTATGAATGAGAAGAAAACTAGTCACATAAATTATAAACTGGTGTTAGAGAAAATATGCACGGGCTGCACCGTTCCATTGGGAAGCAGATTACATTTTATTTAAGAGAAGGATTATGAATTTAAACTTGTAGTAAAACAGAAGAATAGTCACATTATATGGTGGGAGATAAACAACAAAGATTGAACTAAATATTTAAGGCCATCTAGACAGGCTGCTTGCAGACTTGGCCAGAATCCAGACAAAGAAGCAGATTTAGATTACCAAACTCCCAGAGCTTATAAGCAAACACTAAAGCCATTCCTTATATTATTCTCATACAAACAATCTTTATGACAATAAAACATAGATGCTTTTACATGTATAGAATTAAAGATCCAATCTAGTGTTTTTATCAACTTGTGGAGATAGACAGGACAAAGTAACTCTGTTTACAAGCACACCAAAGCAAGATCTAAATAGAAGTAGTAGGAGTTGTTAAAAAACAAGTCTTGGTTTTACTTGATTAAATATGGGTGTTTAAAATGCATCATGAAATACTAGAAATCAATATGACCACAACAGCTTTCTAATCCCATAAACTCACTGCCAAAGCATGATTAACCGTGTAAAACATGTTGCTGACCAACAGTCACTCAGATGCCAAGATGCAGGTCGTGAAAACTTTTCCTTAAAAGAATGCAGCTTGCTGTGTATTTTCAAAATCAACATACCTCCTTCTCTGGGATGAATCTGCTTGGTCCGTGTCCTAGTGGCCGAGGAACTCTGATTCCAAGTTCCTAGAAAAGAAAGTTACAGCATCTCAGGCTTCCAGCAGTAAACAACATGAACTGGAGCTGAGGCTACAGGAATGGGAGGGGAAAAAAACCCCCCAGCTGAACAGAGACAGGCTTGTTGTAGTAATTTGTTTTCATGGCTATACACACATACCAACTCTTCTATTTACATCACATAACAGCAGCTTCTAATATGACTGTCTAAAAACAATAAAACCTGTTTCACCCAAACCAGAGTTTTGCATAAAGTACTTGGCAGAAAGTCTAGAACAGAAAGTTCAGCACATAGAAGCCAATCTTGTGGGCTGTCAGCGATACAAAATAAGACCAATATGTTTGTACATCCCAAACTCAACTAAAGCATCAATCCCTGTGCATCTTGTTGGAAAATAAAAAATACCCCTCACAGATGTCTTAAACAGAAAGAAAAGCAATCATTATTACCTCAATAACACCTCAAAGCAAGCAGAGAAAAGTTTTGAAAAATAAAATAGCTAAATTTACAAAAGATAAAGAACTACAGCAGGGAATGCTTTCTTTGTGGTTAAAACAATTATAGAAAAACAAACGCTGATTTGAAGTTTGCTTTATCTTGTTAATTCATAGGGTGTTATGAATCTTGTGTATATTCTGTTTTAGAGCTCAAGAGATTCAGAAATAAATTGCTTTCTGCCTTTTGACACAATCTGGAATTCTGTCTCTTATACTGACAGAGAAGCATGGTTAACAAGAACTGACAACCTATTGTTAAGACTTCCTTCCCCAATACAGTGCACTTATATAAAATGATAAAATAACCATAATAATAAAAATTTTAAGGGGGCTCAATCTAGTTTCATAAAATGTTAGAGTGAATACAACTGAAGATTAGCCCTTACTAACAAAATTACATTACAAATATTATTTCCTGTTTAAAAAACAAAACAAAACAGGACTGGTGAGATGGCTCAGTAGGTAAAGGTGCCTATTGCATGAAGATCTGAGTTCCATCCCCAGAACCCACATGGTGGATGGAGAGACTGACTCCTACAAGCTGTCCTCTGACCTCCACAGGCTCAACATGGCATGTGTGTACCACCACCAACACACAATAAATAAAAAAGGTAAAAAAAAAAACAAAACAAAACAAAAAAAACACAACAAAAACCAAATCTCTCTACTCTTTCTACTGCCTCTGCAGGTTCTTCTCCAATGTATAAATCAGATGCTTTCGTGTGTGTGTGTGTATACAATGTATATATGCACATCTGCATGTGAACATGGGTGCACCTGTATCACAGAGCACATGTGGAGGTCAGAGTCAATACCTTGGGTATTGACTCTCATCTTCCATCTTGTTTGAGGCAGGGTCTGTTATTTGCTGCTCTGTGTGCATACCAGGCTAGCTGGCCCATTGGGAGCACTGGCATTATAGATGCTTCAATTATGTATCTGGCTTTTATGTGGATTCTTGGGATTTGAACTCAGGCCCTCACACTTGTGAGGCAATGCTTTTTACCCACTGAGCCATCTCTCCAGCCCATATGCTCTCCTTTTTAAGGAAAACTGGGACGGGGAAGAGAGAATCTGAGAAATTTAGTTCAAGCTAATGAAAACCTTTTGAATATAATGGATTTAAAAATTAATTCAGCAATAGTTCATTTGGTAGAGCGCTTGCCTAGCATACATCTGTAATCTCAGCTGGGAGGTGGAGGTAGGAGGCTCAGAAACTCAAAGTCATCCTTGGCTTCATAGCAAGTTCCAGGCCATCCTGGGCTACAAGAAATCTTGTGGCTAAAAAAAAGGATGATAAAATTTAAGAGAATTTTTATTAAAAGAAATCAAGATTCAAATTCAAATTCAAAGTAGGTTGTATTTGCCAAATGAAATCATAATATATGCATTTTAGTGCATATTAAGTATATGTTTTATTGTATACATTAAGTCAAATCTACTGGATTCCAGTGGCTTCTTATGAATGTTGTTATTCCACATTTATACCAAAGATAATCTATAAAATTATACTCTTCACTAGAAAAGAAACTTAATTCATTAGTCTGGCCAAGAATATGTCTCGATTTTAATACTGTATAATGAATTTCAGAAGAAAACATGCTCCAATTATTCAATCCATCCTCCTGGCACAAATTCAGCTACTTATATAAAATGATGCTCTTATTAGCCTAACTGCTAACTTTGATCCAACTACATATATTTTAAGCGAAACTCACTTGAAAAAAGTGCAGATCTAAAGCCAATGTTTATCTCTTCTCCTTTCCTTAATCTTGGAAATTATCTGAACAACATGTATTTCAGTGTTTCAAGAGTTTATTACTCATTTTATAACTAAGGGACACTTAGGATTTCATTATAGCAAACTGATTTCAAAATGAATTGTTTGATAAATGATCTTGGGACAACTGGTAGTCACTCAGAAGAAAAAGTAAAGTTGGAGTTCTAAATTATACTTTATTCTGCAATAACTAAGAGTTAAACAGGGAAAAACAAAACAAAATCAAAAACAGTACAAGGAAACACTCATAGAATGGAACAGACCTAAGAATGCTATAAAACCCAGAAGTAAAAGTTAAAGATTGATAAATTTGCCAGGTGTGGTGGCACACACCTTTAATCCCAGCACTTGGGAGGCAGAGGCAGATGGATCTCTGAGTTCAAGGCCAGCCTGGTCTACCTAGTGAGTTCCAGGAAAGCTGGGGCTACAGGGAGACCCTGTCTCAAAAAAAAAAAAAACAACAAAAAACAAAAAACAAAAACAAACAAACAAAAAGGACTTGACAGTAACCTCATCAATAGAGGGTGGCACTATTTCAAAAGTTCAGCATGGCCAACAGAGCTAGAGCTGCAAGCACTCCTTTCAAAGAGTAAAGCAGTTCTTGAGTTGACTTGAAAAGATCTCTAAAATATGCTAGGGGAAAGGGTGGTAGGGAAGAGGAAGTAACAAAATAACAGTCATAATGTGTGTGTATAAAATGTTACTACTTACAACATGTGTTTTTTTTTTTTTTTTTTTTTTTTTTTAATGAGACCAAATTGATACCTAGGTTTTAAAACAAACCAGCTGAATTATATTATTCTGGTCTTGTTTCTATACTAAATACATATGTTATATACCAAATTATTATAAAATATTTTACAAGTCCTAGAAGATGTCCATAATGCTTCAGAAATGGAATTTCCTGGATGTGGTGGTACACGCCTTTAATCCAGCACTCAAGAGGCCAACACAGTGAGTTCCAAGTCAGTTTGCCTCAAAAAAAAAAGGAAAGAAAAAAAAATTTTTTGTCTTATTGAGACAGGGTCTCCTTGTAACCCCAGCTGGCCTGAACTTGCTATATAGACCAGGCTGGCCTCGAATTTACAGAGATCTGCCTGCCTCTGCCTCCCAAGTGCTGGGATTAAAGCGTACACACACCTGGCAAGAAGTTTTTCTTTTGGGTATAGCAAGAGTCTTTCCCAATAGTCCTATGTAATTCTCAGTCTATAAAAACTAGTTCATTCTTTAGCTACATTTATTGGCCACATTGTCTCCGAGACGGCCAATGTCTCAGAGGTGCTGTCTGAACATTAAAATATAATGTTAAGAAAAAACAAGACAAAAAGGAAATAACCACTCAAAGGGTGAGTGGGGAGAGAAGCACTCCCTGGAATGGACTGAATACACGCTGTGCAACACTGTTAGGATTATATTATTTAATGAAGATTTGACAAGTGTGCTGAGACAGAAGAATAAGAAAACTTAAGACAGAACTGTAAAGGAGTCTCTGACATTCAAGACTTTTCATTTCATTATTTTATCTATGTCTATTTCTAGGTGAAATAAAATTTTACTTAGCTCATACTTGGATTACCAGGCAATTTCCAACTAAACTGAGATTGTGACATGCTTGTTCCATCCCATAAAAGCAAAAAGAGAAATGGTAAAGAGAGAAGGGGGGAGGCAAGGGTGAGACAGAGTAGGAAGAAAGGTAAATAGTCTTTTTATAAAATTTAATTTTGTTTTTCTGTAGAGGCCTTTATTTCTCCAGGCCATATAGGGCTTAGGCTTTGAATAGTCTTTAAAAAAAAAAAACCATTTTATTTATTATTTTTATTTTATGTGTATGCATGTAAGTGCACCAGTGTCATGCAATGCCCATGGAAGACAGAAGAGGCTGTTGGATCCCCTGGAACTGGAGTTACAGACAGCTGTTAGCTGCCATGTGGGTGCTGGGATTCGAACCTGGGTCTTCTGCAAGAACAGTCAGTGTTCTTAACCTCTGAGCTATCTCTCCAGCCCCCAGTAAATAGTCTTTTAAAAATAAATTCTTTCCTGAAAGAAGAGATTGATCAAGACTAACATAATGAACACTGTGTGTGGTGGTGAATGCCTTTAATCCTAGCATTTGGGAGGCAGAGGCAGGTGGATCTCTTGAGAGATGGAGGCTAGTCTGTTCTACATAGTGTGTTCCAGGCAGGCTGGGGCTACAGGGATACCCTGACACTCCCCTCCCCCCCAAAAAAAGACTGACATGAGAAGAATAGTTACTTCTATTCTAGAATCAAATTTACTCTATATTTGGAGGCTAGGCTTAAAAGATGGTCCCTTTTTCTTAGCTATACAAGGACATGACATGACTTTTCTACTTAGTATTATGCCCAACAGAAAACAAAAGGGGCATTCCTGACAAGCTCTGGAGATTGTATCCCAATTTATTCTAGTTCAGGTACTGACAGGAAGGAGGGTGGCTCCATCCAGCCTCTCAGTGCACAGAAACTTAACTTCTAAGAAAAGTAAACAGGCGACAATCCCCTTAGACAGTCCTACAGAACCTGTTCTTACTGGGACTATTATAAAGACTTCTCATCTTAGAAAATCATCAAAGTAGAGCACAAATATGGACTAGTGTTAAAACAACTACTCTGGCTAGGAATGTATGAATAGTTCAGTAGCAGAGTGCTTGCTTAGCATGTGCAAGGTGCATAATCTCCTGAGAAAAAAATACTGAGCAGTTAGAAAGATTGGG